GAAGAGAGAGAGAGAGTACCCAAAAGATGTGACCTGAGCAAGGAAGAAGGGATACTTTTTCATGGGAACAAGGGCGAGTTTGTACAATACACGATTGGCAACAGCCACCGCAACTGTGAAAACAGAAGGCAAAAAGTTCCCGGTAATTGAATCTCCTTCACCGATACCAAAAGCACAGACCTTCATCGATCTCCTGATTGGTTTTGGCCATTTTCTTTGCTTCTCCATAAGTGTTCTATGGGTGTTTGCTTTACTGTAGCAACAGTCTAAAGCCGTCTTTTTGTGAAGAAATTGAAGCTTCGTTAGTGGCGGAACTGGTTTGCAACTGAAGAGGAGTATGTCTGTGCACATCACGTTAGTTGGGCATGCACTTTTGCAGGTCTCTGGTTCGAGAGAGAGAGCAGAAGCCTCACCCGAGAGCAGACGCCGTTTCTTGTACTTTGCGAGCGAGTATTGTGTACTCCCGCGGGAACATACCTTGCACTTACTCCCCCGGCAAAACAGCTAGCTGAGGAGATTATGCGCCATCGCGAGAGAAAATTTGGTATTAATTCTTGGTGAGCTTTTACGAAAAAAATAAAAGGGTGTGCAACCCTCAAACAATCACCTCCAAATTTTATCCTAGCATATAATTTTGGTATAAAAAGTTTATAGAATTATTTGAAATTCTATTTTTATCTTTGATTATAAATTTTAAACTTTAAAAATAATTAAAATCAAATATATCTATAAATCTTGAAAATTGACTGTCTAAATAATGTGTTGTAAAGTACACTATTTCAGAGACTCAAAATCTTTTTTTTATATATTCATACATCTTAATATCGAGATGATCAATCGAAGGGTTTTCAACATTAAAACAGCCTTTCCTGGTGGATTTTTTAAGTGAATCTGTAATTCTACCATTTAAGGCTATAACCATGTATACACTTTTTCCAAAAGAAAATTAGGCCACGTATGTTTCACATATAAATATTTTTACTTTTTTAACAATGTTTTACGTGGAAATATTTTCCCATTAATTTGTCCTAGTGCATTTTTCCACACCAATTAGTCGCTAATTGATATGAAAACATTATTCTACCAAATGTTATGTTAATATTCAAAAAAAATATATCTCATACCTAATCACATGAAGAAATTTTTCACGTGAACCAAACACGCCCTTAGTTTTGGGTTCCTCAATTTTTTAACAATGATTTTGAGTTTCTCAAATTTTACCCAGTTGTCTATTAAAAAAATATTTATCTCACACTCCCCAAAATGTTAAAAAATATCTTAAGCATGTATACTATTTTCCTTTGGAGCTACTATACATTTACTACCTCAAGCAAAACCCATTTGAACCATTGATTTGGTATTTTCCATGGATCCATCATAGAGTCATAGCAATCTCACTGTAGAAGTAAGGTTGAAGTAATCTATGCTATTTATTTTGATTGGATAGAGTAGATTTGATATTATCTCAAACTACTTGTCACTTTTTAACAATGTTTAAAGGATGTGGTTTCTATAAGGTTGGAACCTTAAATAATATTAGATTTGGTATAAAAAATTATTAGAATTATTTGAAAATCTATTTTCACATCTAATTATAAAATTATGAACTCCAAAAATAGTTAAAATCAAGTAGATCTATGAACATATGAAAATCTTAAAAATTAACGGTCTAGATAACGTGTTGCAAGATGCACTATTTATGGAACTTAATTTTAATTTATTTTCATATTCATTTATATCAATGTCAAGATGATCAATTATAAAGTTTTTCAACATTAAAAAAACTTTTTTCGATAGAATTTCGAGGCGCATCTATAATTCTACATTTTAAGGTTGCAACCTTATATAATCTTTTTCCAAGTTTGAAAGACATGTCATTCTCTGATGTTTAACTTGAGCACTTTAGAATAGGGCAAGCTTTCTATACTTCCCTTACAACATAAAACTTATATACTTCCCCTTATCCAAACGTCCATTCCGAATGGAGGGCTAAGATTGTCCCAATCATAATGTCACGTCTCTACACTATTTTATTTTTAATTCTTTTTTTGTAAACTATTTTGGTACCAAATATTGGACGTCCAATCCTCTATTAAACTCGCACTAGGGAAAAATATAAACAAAAAATATTTCCATGACCAAAATACCTTTGAAAGTTTCAAGGGGTATTTGTTCATTATATTTTGATCTACTTTAATTAGAAGTTCATCTCATAGGCCCATGAAAACAAAAAGCCTTCAAGAAATTTATTCGATTACTTGTAGGCTTGATGTTGAAAATGAATATCTCACATTACTTTGTCTTTATGCAGATTTAGATCCTATTTACTTTGATGAAGCATGGAAAAGTAAAGTGTGGAAAAACGCCATAGATGAAGAAATTGAAGCAATTGAGAGGAATGTCACATGGGAGCTTACAATACTTCTTAAGAGCCACAAAGCAATTGGTGTGAAATGGTTTTACAAGACAAAGAGAAATGCTAATGGAGTGATCGAACGGTTTAAATCAAGATTAGTTGCTAAAGGGTACAAGTAAATACCCGGAATTGACTGTGATGAGGTATTTGCCCCCGTTGCTCGTTTGGAAACCATTAGATTAATCATGTCTCTTGTAGCCCAAATGAAATAGAAAATTTTTCAAATGGATGTGAAATCGGCATTTTTTAATGGTGTTCTTGAAAAATATGTGTATAGTGAACAACCAATTGGTTATGTCAAAAGGGCAAGAAACTAAAGTTTACAAAATTAAAAAAGGCAATGAATAGTAGAATTGATAAATATTTTCTTAAAAATGGTTTTTCTAGATGCCCATATGAACATGCCCTATACATAAAGAAAAATGAAAATCGAGATATTTTACTTGTTTGGAGAAGATGGCATGTACCAAATTTCATATTCATACAATTTGTATAAAAAAAACTAAAAATAAAATACTTTGAGACCTTGGATCGAAGATCAAACGTGAGTGGCTCTCTTGATCAAAATTGGACGGCTAGATGGTAGGAAAAGCATAGATATTCTATGTTGTAGGGGAACTATAGAAACATTTCCTTTTAGAATATCGTAACCTTACTTCTACAAATAAAGCTGCCACTTTCTATAAACCTCACTTATACACATACATTAAATAAATATAAAAACACACACACAAATATATATATATATATATAGGAAAACTCTTCCTAACGCCTATAGGCAAAAATGAATAGTGATTTCACCTATCATCATCACCATCCAAGCTTCATCGTACGGTTACAGTTGTCCGGTAGTTTTTCAATTTTCATTTTTTTTAAATCCAAATTACTTGAAATTTGGATCATGTGTACATCTTAGTGAGGCACACTTAATAAAAATATGAAAAAATTAATTCGTAAAATATAAATTGACCAAAATACCCCTAAAAATTTGCAGGGATATTTTGGTTAATTTATATTTTACGAATTATTTTCTTCATATTTCTATTAGGTGCGCCTCACTAAGATGTACACATGCTCCAAATTTCAAATCATTTCAATTAATAAAACAAATGAAAATTAAAACACTACCAGACAATTGTGACCGTGCGATGAAGTTTGGATGGTGATGAGGGTAGGCGAAATCACTGTTCATTTTTGCCTATGTCAGCCCATGGGAGCCCAACGGCCTAGATTGAATCTGGACTGATCAAATGATCACAATTGTATTTCGTAATTGAATTTTACTTTTTTTTTTCTAGGAATCCAAATTGTTTGAAATTTGAAAAAAGTTGGGATTAGCCCACTAGTTCATATGAACATATGAGCCCAACGTCCCATATTGAATCTGGGCCGATCTGACGATCACGGATGTCCGATAGTGTTTTAATTTTATTTATTTATTTATAAATCCAAAACACTTAAAATTTTAGGCGTGTGTTTATCAAAAATAGATGAATCTTTTAAAAATATCAAAAAAAATATTTTACATTAAATAAATTGACCAAAATACCCCCTTAATATTTCGGGGGGTATTTTGATATTTTTTTCACGAATACTTCTTTTTATATTTTTATTACATACGCATTGATGAGAAGAATACACGCCTATAATTTTAAGTGATTTGGACTTGTAGAAAAATAAATAAAATTCAAGCACTACTAGACATTTGTGATCGTCAAATCAGCTCAGATTCAATCTGGTCCATTGGGCTCATATGTTCATATGAGCTAGTTGGCTAATCCCAGCTTTTTCCTATATATATATATACATATGAAAGACTTAAAAAACGTTTATAGGCAAAATGCTACAGTATTTCGCCATCGCCACATATTTGTTATGTCCGTGGTGGTTTATTGAACAGACCCGCCCATTGCAGTTCTGCGTTAATTTTTTGACCGCCATGGACCTAGTATGTATGTGACAGTACCACCACAGACGTGCTAGGTCCGTGTCAGTCGAAACATGCACACCACCCGAATTTTTTTAGATGGTGATGAGCCTATGTGTGTAAACACTGTTCATAGGCATTGCGTATGTGCTTCCTATTATATCTATCTATTATATATTAAGTGTGAGGACTACTCCGCTTATTATTTCGCCACATGTCCTACGATATTAATAACTCTCTCTTCCCCTCAGCTCTCTCATGACCATATGTATCATGTCTTACACTCTCTCACTCACATCTTTCTCATGCCCATACATGTCATCTCATCGCATTCATTCCCTTTCTTTAATCATCCCTCTTCTTTCCCTATTTCTTAATAACTCCAAGCCTCCTCACATTTCACTCTTTTCTCTCATCCCCCATATTAATCTCTCTCTCTCTTCTCTCCCCCTATTAATTTCTCTCTCATTTCTCCTCTCCCCATATTAACTCTCTTCTAATTTTTTTTAATTTACTCTTTTCCCCATCTCCCTCCCACATTTCCTCTTTATCTTTCTCTTCTTCTTTCATGCATAAAAAGCCATAAATATGGGTAATACTTTTCTAATGTAGACATAAATATAGGTAACTCTTTTTTTAATGTTCCACCACTAGCTTCCTTATTTTTATCGGTGATTCCCTTATATCCTAGAAAGGTAAGAAACAATATGTAGTTGCTTGTTCAAGTGCAGAAGCTGAATATCATGCACTTGCTTATACTGCTTGTGAGATTATCTAGTTATGATGGTTACTCCAAGATATGGGTGTTTCTCATTTTGGCCCTTCATCTGTTTTTTGTGATAATAAAAGTGATATTCTAATAACTCACAATGATGTATTTCATTATCGAACAGAACACATTGAAATTGATTGCCATTTGACTCGACATCATTTTTAGTAAGGGACTATTACACTTCCTTTTGTTCGTTTAGAACACCAATTAGTTGATCTCCTCACCAAGGCCCATCCCATTGCGCGTTTTCGCTCTTATTATCCAAACTCCAGTTGCTCTCTTTCATGCCACTATGAGTTTGAGGGGGGATGTTGAAATACATTGTGATATATAGGGAAATGCTAGCATAGGCCAGTCGGCCTAC